GGGGTGGTGCTCATCCCGTTTTCAAGCCATAGAGCCAGCGCTTGTCCGAAGACAGTTTCCGCGGTCATGTGGCCAGCGTGACTAGGGAATGCTGTTTTACCTTCCCACTGAGGTGGTACCTATTTATCTACTTGCATTTGCATTCTTTTGAACTGCTAGGTTGGCGAGGAGCTGGGACAAAGCGACGGGAGCTCACTCTGTTGCGGGGATTCGATCTTACGACTCCTGGTCTTCTGACCCTGCAGCACAGGCTTCTGCGGTTTAGCCCACAGTGCCACCACGAATGGAAAGTGAAATTCTGTGGAAAGGGGGGGGAAGCTCAGTCATATGGCAAGCATGATTTCCATGCAATGTTCACTAATCACGTGATCTCAGATGGCAATATGGAGTCATAATTATGATGTCCATAATTCCATTTTACATTTTTGAAGACTGGTAAATTGCACTTTATATTTACTAATTTCTGCCAGGTTTTCCATATCTTTTGCAGAATATATTCAGATACCTTTCTAAATAAGACAGACACTTCCTGCAGTTCAGAGTATGGCGTTCCTTGCATAGTTAGCTCATTGATGACTAAAAGCTGAATAACATTAATAATTTGTTTTAAATAATATTTATTGCCATCAAGAACTATAGTCACTAAAGTGACACAGAGGTTGCAGCTCAGAGTTGCCTTTCATTTTTCACTGGAATATGGACCATGTCACACATTTGTGAAACCCTCTGGATTTCTTGAATACTTTTCTTTGGTCCTTGAAATCTCTTAAATACATTTTATTTTGACATATTTGAATACTTGATGGGAAGAATTTTCAACAAGCTAGCAAAAAGCTGCATCAGCTGATGGTGAAGACTCCAACCATTCATAATTCTTGAAGCATTCTCATCAGAAACTACAGCCCCTCAGTTTTCATGGGATATAAATAATCTTTAATTTGTTAAATTGTCTCACTCTTTTTGAGAAATTCCCAGGAATACCAGGCTCAAAAACTTGACTTTGCATATAGCTACTACTGTATTACACCTGCGGTCTGTTCCTATGAACTGACGTTCTTTGCTAATGACAGCAATATTCTGAACTTGGCTTTGAGGCTGTCTTATATATCTCAGTTTTAATTTTCCACCAGAAAAACCAGCTTGTCTTCACTGTACGGAAGACAGAGAGAAAATAAATACAGTGGTGCCTCGCACAACGAGCGCCCCGTAGAGCGATGAATTCACTCTACGGGGACGTTTTTTCAATCGCTAATGTGATCGCAGAGCGATGGCCTCTATGGCCGAAAATCGCAGAGTGAAGGTTGGTAAGTGGTTTGCTTACCGACCTTCGCTTTGCGACCCGCCAATCAGCTGTTCCGCGGATCCAAAATGGCCGCCGGAAGCCCCAAAATGGCCACGCGCAGCGTTTTTGCGCCCTTGTTAAGCGAGGGGAGGCCGCGAAAATGGCTGCCGGCCATCCTGGAACATCGCTGAACGGTGAGTAAAGGAGCCTTTTGGAACGCATTAAACGATGTTTAATGCGTTCCAATGGCTTTTCCTGCCCCATTCAGTGATGCTTTCACACAGCGAGGGTTAATCCAGAACGGATTAACCTCGCTGTGCGAGGCACCACTGTATTTTAGGACATTTTTCTTAAAACCTCCTTAGAGGCCTTTTTTCAACATTTAGATTTCCCCTCCTGATGGACTACAAAGTGAGAACTTTTAGTTGCTATTTGTTGTTCTGTAGTCATTAAGTCATGTCCTACTCTTTGTGACTGATGCCAGGCCCTCCTGTCTTCCACTGCCTCCCAGAGTTGGGTCAAATTCATGTTGGTAGCTTCGACGACACTGTCCAACCATCTCCTCCTCTGTCCCCTTCTCTTGCCTTCACACTTTCCCAACATCAGGGTCTTTTCCAGGGAGTCTTCTCTTGTCATGGGATGGCCAAAGTATTGGAGCCTCAGCTTCAGGATCTGTCCTTCCAGTGAGCACTCACAGTTGATTTCCTTCAGAATGGATAGGTTTGTTCTCCTTGCAGTCCAGGGGACTCTCAAGAGTCTCCTCCAGCACCACAATTCAAAAGCATCCATTCTTCAACGGTCAGCTTTCTTTATGGTCCAGCTCTCACTTCCATACATTGCTACTGGAAAAACCATAGTTTTGACTATGCATACCTTTTTTTGGCAAGGTGATGTTTCTGCTGTTGTCTAGGTTTGACATCACTTTCCTCCCCAGAAGCAGGCGTCTTTTAATTTCGTGGCTGCTGTCACCATCTGCAGTGATCATGGAGCCCAAGAAAGGAAAATCTGTCACTGTCTCCATTTCTTCCCCTTCTATTTCCCAGGAGGTGATGGGACCAGTGGCCATGACCTTAGTTTTTTTGATGTTGAGCTTCAGACCATTTTTTGCGCTCTACTCTTTCACCCTCATTACAAGATTCTTTAATTCCTCCTCACTTTCTGCCATCAGAGTGGTATCATCTGCATATCTGAGGTTGTTGATATTTCTTCCAGAAATCTTGATTCCGTCTTGGGATTCCTCCAGTCCTGCCTTTCTCATGATGTATTCTGCATATAAATTAAATAAACAGGGGGACAATATACAGCCTTGTCGTACTCCTTTCCCAATTTTGAATCAATCAGTTGTTCCATATCCCGTTCTAACTGTTGCTTCCTGTTCCACATATAGATTTCTCAGGAGACAGAGAAGTTGGTCAGGCACTTCCATTTCTTTAAGAACTTGCCATAGTTTGCTGTGGTCCACAAAGTCAAAGGCTTATAGTTGCTATACCAAGGGCTAATTAAACAACTGGAAACTAATGGTGGAAAGCAAAGGGATTTATTTTTTTTTTTATTTTACTAGCCACTTTGAAAAGGCCTCACATGCAACAATACATATTGGAATCATAGCTGAACGGTAGCTTAGGTAGCCAACCTGTTTAAAGTAGCATCTACAGCTGTGCTTCTTTTCTGCCAAGAGTGAATTCTTCCTGTCTCACTAGCTATTCAAGAAAAGAAGCTCTCTGCCTTTTTCTTTTTGCCTCACTTTTTTCATGTTTCCACATCTACAATTTTCTCACTAGAGGGCAGTAACTGATCATTTAGTTTAGAAAATTTAAGGTTTAGCATTTTTCACTAGGTCTGTGGCCAACTGAAGGCACTGAAATGTATTTCAGTTTGATCTGGAGCTATTATTCTCTTTGTCTGATTCAAATGGTGCCCTGGATTTGAGAGGATCTGATGCATTGACTTTTCATTGGAAAACTGAAAAGGATATAACCTTTTTGTTTTGCATCAGTACTCATACACATGAAATTTGGAGGTATGCTAGACCTTAATGTATGAAACCCAGTGTGATATAGTGATGGAGTGATGGACTGGGACTCTGGAGAACAGGGTTTGAATCCCTACTCAATCATGGAAATGAAAGCTTGTGTACTGTATGGTGATTTTTAGTAGTCTAGAAAGTATTGCTCATTGTTGCACTTGTTCTGAAATATGAGATTCTGAAAGTAATGAAACTTGTATTTCAATCAGATTTTCCCATTCAGAAAGTGAGAAGGTGAATAATGAGAATGAAATCTGATGATGTGTTTCTTTCTCTACAGTTTTCTGATGCTGCTGCAGGACTATGATGTGATGTGATATAAACTGCTTGCTGCAGAAAAAAAGTCTGATGATGATTTTTGTTTCTCAGGCACTGTTGCTGTCTTGCCTGCATTTGGGATAGATGTTCGTCTGTTGCCTTGACACTGGTTTGGTGGAGTAGTTTTGAAGGATCTGTAGGACTTCGCCCAGTTTGGTGCCAGAGACCTGAACAAGAAAAAACAAAATGAAGGACCAAAGACTCAAACTTGGTACTCTGCCAACATCCCTGCTAGGAGGTATTCAGATCAATCTGTTGATGGCCTGTAAAAATGTGCATACATGCCTGACTTTTTGTGGCTAGATGGCAGTTTGTGACTGCAAGGAAAAACCTTAGAGATCTTGGAGTATTTACACCCGCCGTCTATGTTTTTTGTACCACAAGGGTGCTGGAAAGTGCAGGATCATAGTTTTGACATTCCACAGATACTATCTGTGGTGTGTGGGTAGTCTGGAGAAAATCCTGTGCAAAGCTATGCTGCTGAGCAAAGTTTTTAACCAGCCTTTTGGTTCTTCAGTTACTCTGGCGATGATTTGTTCTGCAGTATTTTAGTGCTCTTGGCATCATTGCGGGGGAGGAGGGAGGGAGCAAGAAGGAAAACACTGAATTTAGTTGCCTCTACCTACTATTGCTTTCGGTGTCTCCAGTGTGGAGTCAGAGTCTGGGAGTTTGATTCTCCACGGTGCCTCCTGTGAGTAGAGCCAGCCGGTGTGGCCTTGGGCAAGCTGCACAGTCCCAGGGCATCACCAGAAGAAAAGAATGGGAAGTCCCTTCTGAGTGTTCCCTCTACCTGGAAACCCCTGAAAAGTGTCACTATAACTCAGAATTGACTTGATAGTATATGATTATTATTGCCTACTGCTGGTTAATCTGCTTTCCCCTGCATTCTTCAGCACTGCTTCTTCTCATCCTCTAACAGAATGTGTTTATCCTCACAAACACAAATATAGACTTCCGTAGGAGACAGCGGCGGAGGGGGGGGGGAGAGTGTGAACGAAATGATTTGGAACTGAAAAAGGCTGGAGGAAGAAATCCTTAACTGCTTTACCTTCTCTGCTCAAATTCATCCTGCTGAAACTGCTTCTGGGGAAGGACAGTGTCAGCAAAGAGACCAGGAAAGCACCATTATAAAATATTGCAGTATTACTGTATGTCTCACCAACATAATCAAGAACAAAAAAGCGACCTGCACATGTAGGGAGAGTGCAGATGATTTTCAATCCACGTTCCTCACCTCCCTAAGCTGGTGATAAGTTCTGTTGAAAAATTTTACCCAGAGTTTGACTTTAATTGGAAGGAGAGCTTACTGAAGTGTTTTGTTTTTATCTGCACTTGATTTCCAGAGTTCTCTTATCTCATTGAGAACCTCTTCCTGTTTCCCACAATGTTTCTATATAAATTAGCCTGGCCGCACACACTCAGTATCCATCCTGTGACCAGGGCTCATACAAGAACTGCTAAATATTGCGTGCCAAAAAAAGAAAAGAAAAGGAAGGAAGGAAGGAAGAAAATTAACTACAAGTGGTTCTGGAGGGAATGATAAGGAGCAGAGTAGTAGTACAGACAAAGGAAAATTGTGATGCTTCGCCCCCTGCCCGCCTCCCTATTTATAGCCTATATAACCGGAAACTAATTTCAGAAAGTTTTCACTAGGTGAAAAATGAAAGCAGAGCAAACTTCCTGCTTGATCTTTGTAAACAGAGTGATTGGATTCCATTGCTTGATTTAAAAGGATAACAAGAACTTAGCTTGCCATCCAATTCTGTCTTATTATAAGACTCTCATGAATCCGTCACAATACTTTAAAGTTTATAGGCCGAGGTAGTTCTGGCTTGCTGAATAGGCATCCCATCTCGGCCTCATTCCTCCAGGAAACGCACCATTTCTAAAAGGAATTGCATCATCACGCAGACGTCTGAAGAAGATCAGCTTTTGCTTGGCATCCGAAAACATCTGTTGGAGAGCGTTTCCTGATGGCACATCACTCGGGAACCCCCTTTCCTCTCGTATATGTGCCCTTCAACTTTTAAAATTAAAAACAAACAAGGCAACAAAAGGGAAGTGAGCTTTCTTTGCTCTGGCATCACTAAGAAGGGCTTGAATTGAATTTTTGCGAGCTTTCCAAGTGGAACCATCAACTGAGCAGGTAAGTCGAAGCTAGAAACAAAATAAGATATTTACATGTTTTTTTTTAGAGTTTCTAAAAATCACATGCTCAATAAGAGCAAGGGTTGGATTTGTTCTTTTTGACTCAGAATACCCAGCAGGTGCTCAAGGTGCTGCCTGCACTATTCTGAAAACAAACCGGTCAGGTAGATTGGGCCAAGACAGTCTTATGATGCATTTATTATTAGTGAATGTCTCTAGCAAAGATAGAATTTTTATTTAAGCTCTTTTAAGATCTTTCCAGATTTATTTTTTTGCGATTGTTTCATGCTGAGGAGACAGGCACAAAACACAAAATTGTCCCAGCGTGGAGTGGAGTCAGAGGAAATTTGAGATGGGGAGGGAGCAGGGGCTTCAGACGGCTCTGCTGAAAAACTCAGATTTATAAAACAGTGCTAAGCAATGGAGAATGCTTTCGAGTTTGCTGAGTCAGGAGAAGCAGGAAGTTGCCATGACTGTGCGCGCGCATGTGTGTGTGTTCTGCGCCCTCTAGTGGAAACCGACTTATAGTAACCCTAACAGGGTTTTCAAGGTATGCTACAACGCCTGGCTATAACTCTGTTTATCAGCTGCACATTCTTTTGAAGGAACAAATGTGAAGCATTTTTACTTGTTTTCATCTCAACCCAACTCTAGGAATGCCTATATGCAGTTCAAAGGCAGAGATGGGCTTCAGAGTTCTCTAGGACCCAGAACTCCTAGAGAAGGCTCTCTCTGCCTCTATGGAATCATTCTATAAATACTTAAATCTATCAACACCTGGGCCTAAGGAGAACCATATGGAAGGAACAGTAGGCCCCCAAGATGCTCAAGGGCCCGAGAGTGAACAAACTAGGATTATTTACACCCAACTACGTGATCAGTGTCTCCTCTCAGCTAAATCCAACCAGACAATTTTCAATAATCTGCATGATCTAAAGAAAGAAATCACTGATACTAAAGCAATACTACAATGCATTGCTGACATGATAAAGTTGGGGATTTTAAAAGCAGCACCCCCCTCAAACCCTCAGAATACTGAACAGAGAGGACTTCAGGCAAAAAAGGAGCTGGGTACAAAAGATCAAACACACAAAGATAACTCCCTAGCCTTTAAAGGTCAGA